CACGACAGTTCTGCATTTCGCGACGACAACAAACAAGAAGTCACAAGCGAACCAAATTGAGAAGTCACAAGCGAACCCCAGGAGAAGTCACAAGCGAACCCTCTACCAGAAATTTCATAGCCATGCATGAATGCAACCACATTGGAATGCAACCAGACGGTTACTACGGCAACTTGGCCAAAGAGCTGCCCTGCTATATGTAGGGACTGGGCTATATGGGAGTCAGGGCTTCAAAAGAGTGGAGAGTGCAATGGAAAAGAAAAAGATTACATATTGTGCCATATATTTGAAAATCTACTGCAATATGACATGTGGTGTTTTCCACAGATCAGGGGACCCAAATAAGACCCACAGATACTTCAATCCTTACAATGGGGACATTCAAACGGGGACCCCTAATTCTGGGAGGGCCTAGACTCTACCCATAAGTCCCCATTTAATCCGAGTTGTCATTCTATTTCATGTTCCATGTTCTTTTCCTTTTGATTCTCCATTATTGGGCCTATATTGGTTGAATATCCCTGTATACCCCCCTGAACCCCACATAATACCTACATAACCCATATAATCTCCTGTATATTCCCTTTATGGCCGAGCCTGCCAGAACCAGGTGCCCAACGGACTCCAGAGAATCTAAGGCGCCATCCAGCATTGCCTGTCAGACGGCATGCACACCCTGCACTTGCTGAAGGCGCACGCACGGAATTTCAAGGCCTAAAACCTATATGACCCCAATATACTATAGTAGTTTCCATTTTCTTTTCCATAATCCCTAGAAAATGACCCTTTATAGTCCCTATAGCCCCTATAAGTTTGGATAGCAAATCGGCTCAGCTGTTCTGTGTCTGCCTAACTCCCAGGAAGCGGGCAAGGTACACTAGCTCGTGTCATGGCGTAGGACGGGAGAGCTAGTAACAGTTTGCGATGCTAAGCCAACCAGGAACAATCTTCTATAAACACAGTTTCCAATTAATTGTCCATGTCCTTTTCCGCTTGATTCTCCATTAAGCCTTAACAACTCAATAATCCCGTGGTGAATTATCTCTGTCAAAGGTTAACATGCATCTTTGCCCAACTCTACATAGCAGCTATATGAGGTTACATATATATATATATGTATGAGTTCTATAAGAGTTTATACAGGGGCTCACGGCTTACCAGGGGTTATGTCCGTAGGCCCTAAACCCTAGACCTTGAATAGGGCTTCTGTAAGATTAACATGCCGACTTCCTTCGCTGAGGGCCTGCAGCGCACCCGCTCGGGAGACGAGAAGAGCCTCAGAAAAATGGCCAAGTCAGCCACAAGTCACAGAGTTGAGGGCTTAGGGTTTAAGGTTGAGCCTTTAGATGCATGAGAGAGTTGTGCAGTCCTTTCAAGGAAAAGAAACTGTTTGTACGCCTGGGCCTTGCAGCAACAAGCGTCGGTTTCTCTGTACTCTGTACAAACTCCGATTAACCGCTTGGAAGCGTCGGATTGCTTGCCCAAAGGCGCCTCATGAGGCACCATCGTAAATGGCATTGCCATCTACTTAGCAATAGCAGTGAAACGCAGGGACGCCGTTTGTCACGTGACGAGCTGTTGGGCATCCGCACAGCAAAATCAGGAACAGGACAGGCCTGGGAGGCCCGAAGGCCCCAGCTGCAGTCCGGTGAGCACTCACCCGGAACCGTCAAAAGCTCCTCAGGCCGAATTGCGATGCTCTCTAGATCGCAGATAACGCCCGTGCCAGCCAAGTAGCAATGGAGCTACGATTGGCAGGATTCAACTTGTGCATCGTTAGGCCATTCCTCCTTACAGTACCAGCTGCCACAATAGGTAATGGGAGCGCAGCTATAACAGTCCGTAATAACACTCGCTTACGGGCTGTTACTGTAAGTGAGGGTGACCCACTGCATCAGGGAGATTTCACTCTTCGGGCATGTGGAGGCACATAGGCTCCACTCGAGCGAGCCAAGGGGATCTCATCTTCTTCACCTCAGGGACGCACATGAGCAGAGGCCGGCGTTTGCTATGCTTAAACAGGGTTTTTGAATTGTGGGGCGGAGCCTAAGGGACCCTCCGCGAACTTAGCAAAGTGAAATCGAAAATGGGATGATATAGGAAATTCGAGTTTGGGGATATGTGGGCATGTTACGAAACAGTGGTGTCACACACAATAACAACCGTAGGGGATAAATAGGAGTGTTTTTCTACGTAGACCGCAGCACAACCAACTTTTGAAGTGACAAATGTCAAGCAAAACCACGAGGAGATCAAGGATTGAATCTTACACACCCAGAAGCTTGAGGCAATATGGGAGTTTCCCGAAAGTAGGGGTACCTTGTTGGAGGTCACCATTACAGTATTTTGGGGAAGTTTCCTGGCAGCTGAAGAATGGGGGCTCTGGGAAGCAAGTGCTCTTGTACATGCCAGAATCTTCGGCATGTCAAAGGAGAACTCGCTATGGTAAAAGCTAGACCGGTCTCTAGAGACTGGACTCGTCTACCCCTTTCCATGCCGATGCCCTCGCAGCTTTAACAATTCTGCAAAGAAATGATGCCCTGCCATCATCAATGTTGCCTGTAGGACTGCGCACGAGAACTTTCAAATTGCTGTAATCCAAAACTTAACCCTAAACCCTAAACACCTAAACCCTAAACCCCTAAACCCCTAAATAATCCGAAACCCCCAAACCCGAAACCCCTAAACCCTAAAGCCATAAACCCCAAAGCCAATCTAACTTGGGAGTCAGGCTGAGGTCCATGCTCTCGTCAGATTGCTCGGGTGCCGCCGCAAGGCCATACTTTCCAACCTACACTTTAGAGTTAGGGTTTGGGTCAAGTGTTTAGGGGTAAGGGTTTAAGGGTTTAGGGTCTAGGGTCAGGGGTTTAGGGTTAAGGCTTATAAGGGTTTAGGGTTAAGGGTTTAAGGGTCAAGGGTTTGGGGCGAAGGGTTTAGGGTTTAGGGTCTAGAGTATCAACATCCTCTGGGTATCCCTATATATACCAGTGTGACCCCATGTTATTCCTGTGTCATCCCTCGAAAATCCCTTTCTATCCCTATAGATCCCCCGCATATCATCCCTGTATACTCCCTACATATCGCTAGATATTCCCATATAATGCCGATGTAAATCCTACATATGTATATATCACCACAGAATCCGCTCATTGATCTCTCTCGTAGCCACCCGACTGGAACCCTAAACCCTAGCCCCATAGACCCATAACCCCCAACCCCTAACCCCATAAACCCTGAACCCCTAACCCATACATCCCAAACCGATAAACCGATAAAAGCCTATATAAACCCTAAACCCTGTAGCCACCTGCCTGGAAGCCGGGGTCTGGCTTCATGGCTTTGACGAGCCTGTTAAGCTCTTCCCCCACATGACGCCGAAAGTTCTCCTGAATTTAGGGTTTAGGGTGTGGGGGTTTTGGGTAGTCAAATCTATCCACACTCACTTGCACGCAATCCACCGAGTTTAGGGTTTAGGGGTGATTTCTGGTTTTGGGGTCCGTTGAAAGGATGAAAGGGACTATATTATGTAGGGTCCTCCAGCGGCTGCGTCCACTGTAATTCTTTTCCAGTGTTGAGGATGCGATTGAAGATGCAGCCATCGGCCGTCTCGGACAGCGGAGTTGGATCACGAAGAGAAACTGTCCTCCCCAATGGCTTGCCTGCGAGGACAGCTTGCCATCAAAACCTCTTGAGCACTGCTTCTTCCTGCATGGTAGACTTTGTAAGTCAACTCAAGGTTGCCATTGACGGCATATTTCCAGTTTCTCTTGAGGAGTGTAAGCAGCTAGCACGCACGGCACAAGGCAAAGCAAAGGCAACAGAACAGCAGCATTCAACTCAGATCATTGCTGCAACCTGCTGCTCCGTATGTAACAACCTGCTGGTTGCAACCCGTTGGGGTAATATTGGGGTTACGGGAAAATGGAAAAGAAAATGGAAACTACTATAATGGGTTATAAAGGGCTTAGGAGCTTCTAACTTGCCAGCATAGGTTTCTCCTTTCAGCGTGCCAAGGAAGCATTGCTAGCCCTAAGCCCCATGGAGCTTGCGTTGAGCCCAGGCTTCTAGGGGGACTAAACCAGAATTTTTTGGGGTTAAGGGGTTTTAGGGGTTTAGGGTTTGAGAGTTTAGGGTTTTAGGGTTTAGGGTTTTAGGTTTTTTGGGTTAGGGGTATAGGGTTCTAGGATAGCAGATTCGCTCTCCGTTCCCTTTGAGGGTTTGGGCATATAGCTATGTTCTGGGAGCAGCAGGTCTAAATGGCTACTTCCGAAAAGCTGGTCCTTAATGAGCCACTCAAAACTTGTTGATCCATACCCTGTGGAACGAGGGTGTTGATCCATACCCACTGAAACGCAATGTCGCTGGTTATAAGGTCATGGAAACGCATGTCCAAGCACCTTGTGCCATTCCCAAAAAGTTCCAGGATATGTCTGGGTGCCCTGCAAACATTATCTTTTGGCGTTCTAGGGAAAATGTAGAGATTCAGGGTTATAAGCACTAAAAACGATGTTCAAACCTATTCAGGAAGCGTCTACTGCACTACCAGTGAGATTTGGAATGTGCCGCGCCTTTGTCGGCCGTGCTCGTGGCAGCGAACGCCGAGGCAATGCAATTTCGCATGATGCCTGAGCACTAAACCCTAAACCTAAACCCTGTGCTGCAGCAGCTTTCGGCCACGGAGTGTCCCTAAACCCTAAACCCTAAGAAGGGACTCTAATGAAGACCCCAAACAGGGAAATACAACGACCCTGGTATCTTCAAGATTACATTCCTACTGCAGTCTTGGGATTCCCTACTCGGGGTCCCTTCTACCCAAACCTTGGAAAAAAAAAACCCTAAACCCCCAGTGCCTTCCACCTTGCTCGGCCTTTCTGGAGATGCGTCTGCTCGATAGAGGGCAGCCGCTATCTGATGCAGCGTGCAGCCATGAGATGCGGCAACCTTGTGGCTGCATACTAACAATACTGGCTTAGGGTGTAGGGTTTTCAGGTTCAGGGTTTTAATTTTAAGGGTTTTGGGGGATTAGTACTGATAGTACTAATAGTACCAATAGTAAGAACCAATAGCACCACTACCAACGATAATCCCATTTGGTAGCAAAACGCGACCGGCCTGTAGCCAGCGGGTCGAGACTTCCATAAGGCGAAGGCAGTGACGCTCCAGGCCCAAGGTTGCTGAGAGCTTCCTTCGCTCGACTTTCAAAGCTACTACTGTTGTAGTAGTAGTAGTAGTAGTTGTTGTTGTTGTAGTAGTAGTAGCAGTAGCAGTAGCAGTAGCAGTAGCAGTAGCAGTAGCAGTAGCAGTAAGGAGAAGAAGGAGAAGAAGGAGAATATCAAGAATAGTAATAGCAATGATAGCAGAAGAATAATAACAAGCATGGCAATAACAATAGCTTATGGTAGTGATTCTCATGACCTAAAACCTGTCAATACACAACTGCCGCTCTCCTTGCATCAGCCTCGCCATCCAACTGGGCTATGTACGCCAACTCGTCACTGCTGAACGGCTCCTGAAAATTAAGGCACTGGGACATCAAGACATTATAGAGGCGTCTATCTGCCCCCGCAAGTGCTCCTCATTAGGCATGATGAGGCTGTTTTACTTGGACCTGATGCGGTTTGATGCGGAGAGTCCTTGCTCTGGGGCCATGAAGACCACGCAACCTCCGACAGCATAAAGTCCAGGCGATCGGGGAAGGAGCAGCCATGATCGATTGGAATGAGCTTCTTGCCACGTCCCTGGACGAGCCTTGGCTATGTCCCTCCATCATTTAGATTCAAGATGATTCAAGGTTACCTCGCCTTCACGAAAAATGTTTTTGCATGCCAAATTAGCATGCGAAAGCATTCGGTGCACGACAAGTGTCATGTTGCTAAGGTTGCGGTCGAAGTTTACAATTCGAAGATCCAGGATCCCAATCTTGTGGACGTCTTGTATTGCGTGGACTGAGCGCCCAAAGTCTTCAGACAGCTCCGCATTTTCCACGAATGCCTGAAACGCGCCGACCTTCCACACGACGTGGCTGTCTCCATTGATGTGGACAGGTACGAAGGCCTGATGCCGGCATCGGGCGAGGGTCGTCATGGGAACCCCTGCGTGGCCATCCAGAGCGCCATGACCAGTGTCCAGCAGGAAGGCCGCAACCTCGCGCACTGCCCTGTGAGCTGAAGCCACAGCGGTTTGCCAGCGCCGCGTGTTCTCTTTGCCAGCATATCCTCGCGGGTTCTGTGGCGCTCCGGCTTCCTCATCCTTTGGCTTGAACCTCGGTGCAGTGCGACAACACCGTGGGAAGTCAATGACATGTCTGTTAGACAAGTCGCACATACCTTCAAAATCTTGACTCATCTCTCCTGAGGCTGTAACACTGCCAGCGTATGTCCAGCTGCATGCTTTAGGAAATATGTTCCACCCGAGCCATTCTCTGAAAGAATTGGCAGGACTCCAGTGTTCAGCCCATGAGCACATTCCTGCAGCCTTCTCTCAAGCTCCGCTGGACAAGGTACGTCACAGAGAGCTAGCTGAAATCCTTCCGCCGCACCAGGACCGATAACCAAAAAGTGCAAGTCCAGCTGCCTCTCATCTGAGGCCGGCGTCCAGTGGTGCGTGATGGGGTTCTCATCTGTCAGTTCAACACCGCGGTACAGCAAACGAATCTGACTGTTCGGAACCTGCAATAGCTCTGGGCACTCAGTGCGCAGAAGTGCCTTTAGCACGTCAGCCGAATTCGTCGAGAGAGCAGAAACAGACAGGGAACCGCTGACAGAAAAGCACAAAGAGTGCAGTCGGACCTTCACAGGTTCAGCGTCATGACCAACATAGCCACAGTGTGTTGAGGGCTTCGGCTGGTTGGCAATGCTCCGTTCCAGCGACATCTCAACGAATATGACTTTCCCTGATTATAGGAACGAATCATCATACTTACTATTCTTATTGCTGCTGTTTACACATACTTTCCATTCCTGTTACTATTACTGTTGTTATTGTGGGTTTGATTACTATGACTATTACGATTACTGTTACTATTATGATTACCGTTGATATTGCAAGTACTATTCGTATCCCTAATATTGTTGCTACTACTATTTTTTACCACAGTTACCTCCATTATGAACACAAGTCTTATGGTTCCTACTATTATTCTCATAGTATGACTTCCCTGCAACTCTACAAATTTGAGCCAGGCCACACCGTGACTTCGGCAAAGCATCTTATACCCAGGACATGATCTAAAAAAGCGCGGTCACCTCTTGCTTTCAGCTCACGCGGCTGTCTAATTTAGGGTTTAGGGTTTAGGGTTTAGCACACGTCTTGGGCCTCCTGAATGTCGCGGCAGTCCTCTTGCAGCTGCTCCTTCCTGAAGGGCGTCTGCCCATGCCAGTAGTCATAACAACAATAACAACAGTAACAGGAATAGTAGCAATATAGTAACAGTAATACTCATAATAATAGTAGCAGAAGCAATAATGCTAGTAACACTAATAATAAGAATAACAGTAATAACTGAGACTACTACTAGTAATAATGGTGATAGTAATAATAAGAAGAAGAATACTACAATGGGGTTATATAGGGATTCTATTAGGGGTTATATTGGGGTATATAGCAATAATGAAAATAAAATGGAAACTACTATAATGGGTTATGTAGGTTACATCAGGACTCTGTCAATGAGCCGGCACCACATTTGCAGGGCGTTGGAAATTGCGAGCTCCAGGGATGCCAACTGCTGGCGGTGGTGATCTGAGCATTGTTTAGGGCTAAGGGTTTAGGGATTAGGGTTAAGGGTTTAGGGACTACGGCTTAGGGATTAGGGATCTGGGTTAAGGGTTAGGGTGCAGGGTCTAGGG